TCTTCTCCTTACTATTCTGTTTCTTAGTATGACCGTGCTGTTCCACCAAATGGGGCTTTCGGTCAGTGGCACACTCGTAGGGTACGTCTAGACTGCAGAGTTTTTCCAGGATACTGGAAGTATCCCAGAAAAGCCCTGCTGTGTCCAAGGAATGCATCTGCTTTTCAAAAAAAAAAAAAAAAAAATCGGAAAAGGAGACGCATTTTTTCAGCGTCCCTGCAAACCTCGTTCTACAGGGAAGAAGTGATCTATTTTTTTGAAATTTGGCCCAGTGTAGATGGAACAAATATCAGAAAAGCCTCTTTCAGAAGAAAAGTGGAGGAAGATATGCAAATTGTAGTTCTTAGTTTGGAACTAAGCTATCTAATTGACCCGTCCCATTGTACAATATTCATAAATATGAGGATTTTTAACTTACGAATACAGTATCGCTCTCTCCTTCATAAGGAAGCATGGTCTTACTCTTGCTTGGTCTTACATTTACAGTGGGGTAATGGAAAATACATCCCTAAAACTGTAAGCTGCAACTTTTTAAATTTTTCATTCCTTGTTTTCCATATTCCACAGTGTTTTCTCTCATTCTGATATATTTTTATGTACTTCCCCAGGATGCTTGCTACCTTCATTGCCTTCTGTGTAGAAAACACTAGCCCTTTGTGGAGATTCATATTTTGTTTGTTCCTCCATGGATGTAGCTGAAAGCAGCTTTAGTATGAGAGGAAACATTAGTATGAGAGCTAAGTCTCTTCGTTGTCTTCATATTAGAATTGTCTTTGAACAATATTGTATTCGTAAGTGCTCAATATTTGTAAAGGAACATCACACATAAAGGAATTAATTAATGTTGCTCTGTAGCACTGTTTGGTTCTTGTTCATCTGCCATGAAAAGTTTTTCCTGCATATTGTATAGATCAAATATAATATGTACACTATACAGCAGTTTCAAAAAGTTTCACTGATGTTAATACTTCTCCACAGCTAACATAAAGTGATTATATCAGTGACATTTTAACTCTTGAATGTGGCTTCTCATAACCTTAAATAGGCAGTAGGGTTGCCAGATGGTTTCAACAAAAATACCAGACACACTTGTCATTACATCACAATCTACATTACATCTTATTTAGAAAATACTGGGCATTTATATTTTCTCATTTATATTTTCTCAATTTGTTTCCCGAACACAAAGCTCAAATACTGGACTGTCCAGTTCTAAACCAGATACCTTGCAACCCTAATAAGCGGAGATAGTTCAATCTGTGTGGTGCCTTTTTCAGGAGGAATCCTTACTTCAGTAGCATATGTCTCAGGGCAAATCCTGCCCTTCAGTGAGAGGGGTGTTTAGGATTCAGGTGGCAGGGGAGGCACACAGCTGTTGTATGTACATCTGGTAGAAGAGCTAGATGGCTCATGGCTGGCATCTTAATTGTGCTAATGTATTTTTTTCAGAAGGAGTAGAGCGCATTTCACCTATATGGGTCTGCTACCTTAGACATGCACCCTCCCTGGCAGAATATGCTCCTTGAACCTCTAGTATGCTATTCATTAGTATGAACAAGCCTCAGTCTTAATGCTCTCTTGAGATACCAGTGCAGTTACCAGTGGGACTGCACAGTAGATGGTAGCATCTCTAGCTCCTGGAAAGTGGGAATTGCAGAGACGTTACTGAGTATACAAGGAAGGAAATGTTATTTTGCTAAATTCCCACAAATCTTACATGCTGTTATGCTCTTTTGCTTTTCCTAAAGTTATGATTTTGCTGCAAACTCTTGAAAGAATTAGCTTCAGTGAAGATTTCAATTAAAATAGGCGGCAAGAAGGTACAACAGCAGCACTGGTTTTTTATGTCTAGGGGAAAGAATGTGAAAGTGAGGAATATGAAAATCAGAGAGCTAAAGCATGTAAAATGCTGCAAGATCTGCTGTGCAAAATGCTCACTTGCTTGTCAGTGAAACCTGATCTTTTGGGGGAGCAGATCATTTGCTATCTCAAAGAAGACAACTTGCCAGTTTCATTACTTATGTCTCGTCTACTAGATATAGACCCTGTTCAAATCATTAAAGTACCCATCCTAAGCTTTCATTAAGTTTGAACCAAATGTCACCATCTTCTCGAAGTGTTCTGCAAGATTACAATATGCCTTCTGCCTTCTGCTTACACATGAGTAAGCTTGTGATAACTTCACTCTAAACCGGATTTTCTCTCTCTTCCCTCACCATCCTCCTTTTTTTTTACTTGCTTGCAAAGGTTTAATTTTCACAGGCTTGCCAAAAGCATAATTATACTTGATGCCTATAAATACCCAGCAGAGATCAGAGAGAGAAAGAGACTCATTTTTAGAATTCTGGAGAATTTGCAAATGTAAACTGAAAGTGCCAACAGGGTTGGAAGTGAGTGGGTTGGACCACTGATTTCCACTACGGCTGGCTTTATTCAAGGGGAAAATATGGTTAAATTAGATGCAGGCAGGTATGAATTACTTGCACATCTCTAATGAACACTTCAGATTGCCTGCTCTTAGAACCTCAATGCATCTCCCTAAATTTGGATGGAAAACTATCTCTACAAATAGAAATAGTCTCCTGTTGGAAAAATCATCTATTTGCCCTTTAAAACATGGGCATTTCACGAAACTGTGTCATGCTAATTACATCTGATCAATATAGGATATTGTAGGTCAGGAGTGGGCAAAATATGGTTCACAGGCCAAATCTGGCCTGTTAAACATTTCCCTCTGGCCCATCATGACCTTCTGGGCTACTAAAAAGTCCGACAGTGCAGCTGCCAGCCTGCTGCAACCCCATCGATACCACTCTCAAGCAATTGGCTGCCCTTTGGGGGAGGAGAGTAGCGGGTCTCAATGAACTATCCCCATCCACCTCTTCACTGCTCCCTTTGGCCATTTTCCAGCCAATGGGAGCTATGGGGGCAGTACATGCAGGCACCCTCCCCGCCCCCAAGGGACACACAGATACTCTTTCCAGTAGCAACTGGACACTTTGAGTGGTGGGCAGCCACAGTTCATGCAGTCAGCCTGCCTGCTGGAGTGGCCTGCTGCACTGCCAGCCAGGAACTGCCTGTAGTAAACATCTTCCAGCAATGACCAGACTCTGTACTTTGCACCCCCTCCACACCCCAACTACCTGCCCCAGAACCCCCTCTTGGACCAAGTTACCTCCCAGACACTGCACTCTCTCCTATATCCCAATCCCTTGCCCAGAGCTCCCTTCCACACCCAAACTCTCTCCTAGACCCCCCACAACACCTCCTGCATTAGTATAATAAAAACGTGTGGCCTCTGCCCACTTACCAAAATTCTTGGAGTAGCACCACTGTGAAAATTATTTCCAATCCCTGCTGTAGGCATGTGCAAGACCTGATAACAAATATCTGAAGGAAAAAGTCCCACAGTGGATGCTGGATGCTGCTCATTCTTATCAATATTGAGCTGGAATTCATTGGGCCAAGTTCTACTTTGTATTTCATCATTGTGAGTTGATGTAACTCTATTGACATTTGTATAATGAAGAGGAGAGTTTTGCCTTTCTGCTGGCTAGCAGGGAGGAAGAATAAAATCTTTAGCTGACATACCTAGTTATTTTTTAGATGCAGTTTTGTGTTTCAGCACAATACTATTTTACATGGTGTCACAGCACATTTTTTGCCATTTTGCACAGTACATGGCTCAAGGAGCTCCTGAAAGTTGGAACAATATTGTTCCAACAAATATGCACAGTATAGGATTTAGATTCACGATGATCTATGAAGCAATCTACAGTTTTGTTAACTCAACCTGTGCCATGCCTGAAAGCATGAATTGGATATTTGCATCTGACGAAGTGGGTCTTTGCCCACAAAAGATTATGCTCCAATAAATCTGTTAGTCTATAAGGTGCCACAGGACTCCTCGTTGTTTATCTTGACTTTAGTGAACCTTGGGCCTAAGTGGTGTCTTTTTAACCCTCTTTTGTTTTAGTGCCTTCTGGGTGGTACTTTATTATGGATCTTTCCGTTGACTTCAGTGAGCTTTGGATCCTGGCGCACATGTTTGGACACTCGTCATTCAAATATTTCCTTACACTATCTATTCTAGAAAGCATTTTAGAAAAAAAACCCGCACTGGTAAAAAAATTAAATTGTAAATTATATTTTTACACAAAGCTGCAAAGTTTTTAAGAGCTGCTCCTATAAAATGGCAGTCTTCCAAGAGGGGTGATTTTTGGTTCCTACCATGCACTTCTGTACTCTGTCATTTTGTTGTGTTGCCATTTTTGCTTAGATTTTATGCAGCTGATGGAAGCAGTCTCATCTTAGCACAAGTCACATTACAAGAAAATGTACATGTGGTGCTGATATAATAATAAAGTATAATAGATACAGATAAAAATATATTGCCCCCCCAGTATAATGTTATATCATGATCCAGTGCTGTCACCTAGCATTCATAATTTAAAACACCCAGCCTGGTACATCTTATTGGATCCAGGTCAAAAGTTAAATAAAATGGTAACATTGTAAATGTTAAAATATTATCCTGGCTCTTTAAACCCTTCTGGCTTTTGCACATTCAATTCATGTTGCCCTATGCAAGCACAAGGGAGGCTTTCCATTACTTTCAATGGAGAGTGCCTAAGGGCACATTAAAGGGATACTGACAGGTGGATAGACATATTTCTTTAACCAGTCTGAATAAATGAAGGGTGCATGAGTCATGTAGGAAGGAATGGAATGGCTCTCTGGCCTCTTCTTTTCCCTACTGTTTTTTGTTGTTGTTTTGTTTTAAAAATATCTGACAACTTCCCTGCCTCCCTGTCAAGCCATGCGTGCAATTTAAGCAGCAATTTCTGTTTTCATCTAGTATATGTATGTTTCTTGGTGTACAAAAAAATGAAAACATAAATCATCATTTAGTGTATTTCCTCCAACATTGTGTCCTGTATTCGAATGTGAGTATTGCCAAGGAATCTATTTCTATGGAGACAGAGATTGGTATTGTCCTTCTAATGACAAAATTACAAATATAAATGCAAATTATATTGTAGTTATTTAAATACAGTATTAGAAACAATCATTTCTGAGCTTCATCCATCCTTATTTATTTTTCAAGTAAAACCAGAAGACCTCTATATTTACAGCATTGGGGTGGAACTAATATGTACTAGGCTCCTGTTTCATACCCTTTAAAATGAAATGCTTTTTTATTAATTGATAAGATGCAATCAAAGTTGAAGCTGATAAAGATACAAAACAAGTTAAACATCAAGATGTATTCTAAAATGGAAGGATCAGTTGTTCCCCAGCTGGTGAGGACTCAGATTTAAATACAGAAGGATTACTGTCATTTCTACATATTAATAAATTGGATATAGATACATAGAAATTATGTACTTAGCACAGCATCATATGTCAGGCAGCGGGACACCTATTTTATTAAAATGTCTTCAACATCTAGCCTGCTAATTTTTGTTTTTAGCAAACGTAACATAAAGCAAACATTTGTGCCTGAAGAAATAATGAAAAGGAGGCTAGGATGTGGAAGACATTGGTATGTTGTGTGGTTTAAGATTAGAGAGGTTTCAATAGGAGGTATCTTTTTTTTTCTCTCATTCCGGGAGACATTTCTCTTTACTGTTGGCATCAAGCCTTCACATTTATAAACAAGATCAAAGTTTGGGAAAACCTCAGTCTGCATCTCTTTTCATTAGTTCAGACTTGATATTACTTACCAGGATAATATGTGATTATCTTTCTTATTGTCGTGCAGACAACTTCTGTAGCTGTGATAGAAAATTAATATTGTTATATACACAGAAGTAGGGCATAGTTTAAGTAAGATGAGGAGTGTAAGTTGTGTGAGGTGGTAACAAGAGATACTACTGAAGTGGTTGTGTTCTTAAACTGTTCAAATTTCATGCTTTTTTTTATTATTATTTGAAGGATAATTCCATAGAAATTATAGTAGTTTTTTTCTGGGTGTCAGTACTCTCTACATACCAAAGCCAGATCCTCAGCTGGAGCAAATGAGCATGGCTTCATTGATTTTACGTTGGAAAAGGTTGTACCTAGCTAGCTGCACTTGCATATATTGGTAAAAGAAAAAAAGCAGTCATATAGCACTTTAAAGACTAACAAGATGGTTTATTAGGTGATGAGCTTTCATGGGGCAGACCCACTTCAAGATCAGACTAACATGGCTACCTCTCTGTTACTTGACGTATATTGACTTAGTTCAGTTGAAATCTGGTCCACGTTTTCAACCTGAATGAACTCTTTCATATATTTTTGTTTGTGATAATCTTTAGGTAACTAGTTATATACAGAGTAATAATAGTTGAAACAGTGTAAAAATTAGTTGAAACTTTCCTTCTCCAAATGACTCACATTTTGCTGGACTCTAGAAAGCTACCATTGATAAAAGTAGCACTTTTAAAATCTGGGATTCTTCTAGTCCGGCAACATCCGTGGTCTGGCATGACCATGGATGTTCCAGGATCAGAGAGTCCCAGTGACATACAGGACACTCGGGGCCCGGGAGCCTGTGCTCAGCTCAACTGGGCTGCAAGAGGGGCCGGAGCTGCACGGGTCATCTAGGTTGTGAGGGGGAGGCAGGGAGCTGGTGTGTGGCTCAGCTGTGCTGCGGGGTGGGACCAGTAGCTGGTGCGTGGCTCAGCTGTGCTTGGAGGGGGGCACCAGGAGACAGCACACTAGGCTTGGGAGGGGCCCTCAGCTAGCCCACGGCACAGCTGGGAAGCTGGTGGGAGGGGGGTGCTGAAATGACCTCCCCTGGTCTGGAAAAATCCCTCATCTGAGACCAGTCAGGTCCCGAGGGTGCCGGACCAGGGGAGATCCGACCTATATTTGTTCAAATAGGAATGCCTTAGTTCACAAGATTTTGTGACATGCATTTAGATCCGGGCTGTTTTTGTTAGATGAACCGTAGAAGAAATTATTCTAACTTCTCTCAGTTCAGTAGAAGGCCTTGCATTGGGTGTTGTACCGATTTGTGCAAGTAAATGAGTTGCCACTGGTTACAACCTTTTTTTCCGCTCTTATGCAGCAGTAGTCAGGGAATGCAGGATGCGATAAAAAATCAAAGTAATTGGATGTTAAAAATCTGAAGGTACCAAGAGACATCATTTTTCACAATTAACTGTGGAAATTGAGTAAGTTAACCTTTAAAATGTTGTTTATTCTGCTATGATCAAGGGGGAAAAAGTGTCACTCTTTTCTTTTTGTGGATGCCATTTCCAGGTTATTAGAGATGTGTGCTCTGTGTACAAGCAGCCTTTGTGTCATCCACATTAGGTAAAATAAATCTGCCAAAAGAAAGAAACTAAGAGAATGTATCCACTTTTTTGGAAGGGGTAAGTGACCCCTGCCCTGAATCATCCTGGACAGTAGTAGGGTGAAGAGACTCTGACTCCTGTGAAACGAATTCTGGGCAGGGAAAAGTCTGAGACAACCCGAGCAGAGCTTTTTGCTTCTCTCATCTTCATATTTTTACTTTGTACTATAGTCTCTTCTTATTACTGTATTTTTTTAGGGATATTCCAGAATTTGCAGCCTGGGGCATATACAGTATTATGGATCTATCTATTCTGTTACACTAGTGGACTTATTGGTGAAATGGAGTGGAGACTGATAGTGTAGGGGGAAAAAATTTCCACATGCTGAAATAGCTTGAATAGTTTAATTACTTTATCTACTATTATTATACTTCTGTATTTTGTGCACCATTTTCTGCTTATGCTATCTACTTGCTATTGGGATCACAGCTGAAACAACTTAAGAATTGAGGTTAGCATCATTAGGAAAGCCTGCTGGACAATGGCCTGGATTATATTTTTACAAATGCCCTGAGAGACAGAGAGAATCACTCTAGTCTTTATTTGGATTGAGGAGAGGAAGTTCAGATATTATCATGGTCCCTTACGTGTTTCTCTGTCTGTCTGTTGCTATTCATTGTCCCACTGGAGATAGGCAGATCTTTAACAAAAAACCTCATTCATAGCCACATGCCAGTAAGTGCTTTGCCAGTATTGCCAGGAGAGAGAAGGATGTGTTGGGTGGTTTTATTATCCTCCTTATAGAAAAGCCAGAAGAACTCTGTTGAATGGGATGGAGAAAAATGGACCAGATCCACAATCTCAGCAGCATAAAGAGGACTTATAGCTACCTAATGCCAGCACTATTTCAGTTGTTCCTGCCCAGCAGTCCTGGCCAGCAGATAGGATTCTTGGGAGCTGTTATTTACTGCACAAATTTAGAGCAGTTCTGAGGATTGTGGAGGCAGCACGCTACCATAAAGCCACCTGTGCTGTTGCTGCCCATGTGTGCAAATGTTGCTCTGGCATATCTTGTCTCCTTTATTTAACAGACAATACAAATATTTCTGGACACATACACACACACACACGCACACGAGTCAGCCTCCTCCCCATTCAAATCCCAACAGGAACTAAAGACATTCATTTCATTACATAACTTTATAAAATGTTATGAAGAAAAATAATATAATTTTCATAGCATAACATGGGTATTTTATGACCCACAGGCATTATCGTCACAGTTATACATAAACATAAAGAAAATAAATTAAAATCTGAACAGTTCAGTCCCCACAGAAACACAGTAAGAAGAAACTAAGGGTTCCCAAAAGCTTATATGTAGTTCATTTAAGTCTCAGTTACAATCTTTGAACACCAAATCTGTACAGACTGCTGTGTCGGAAACAGCGTCTTCCTTCCACTTGCTCGTAGGGATCCTCTGTTGGCATCCATGCAGACTTTTCTTCTGTTGAAATCACTGCAAGCTAGTCACCAGTCATTCAGTTAAGTCACAAGTGTGTTGACGGAAAGAAGGCCCTGTTACAAGTGGCATATACAAATGGAGAATAATAAAATATAAATGATTCTTTCACCATTCTACATTTAAAGAAAATTTGGTGAATCATAGTACAGTACAGGCTGACCCTCCCTGATCTGGCACACTTGGGACTAGGGATGTGACCGACTAGTTAACTAGACGACTATCCGATAAGCAAATGTTAGTTGCTACCTTCCCTCCCCCCCTTGAAGCAGCAGGGAGTGGGAGAGAAGGGGGGGCTTCTGCTCCCCCCACATCACTGCCAGTGAGTGCAGATCTGCCCAAACCCCACTTCTAGCTAATCCTTTGAGGCCATGTTGCTCTGGGCAGAGACTTGGGGGAAGAGGTGGGGCAGAAACTGAGCAGATGAGAGGAAGAGGCAGGGTGGAGTGGAGCAGGGGCAGAGCCTGGGGTGGAGAAAGAGTTGTCACAGCCTTCCCCCAGACTGGGTGGGGGCATGGGGAGGAATCTCCTATGGACATGGTTTCCTTCTCCTGTCCCTCCTCAGCAGTCACTCCATGATAAGCATACAATTAAAATCGAAGTTAAGTTTTCCTCCTAATTTCTCCTTGCTATAAGTAATATTGCCCATGTTTCCTTGTTAGTTGGTTAACAATATCACTAGTCTGTTGAGGAATGCTTCAGAATGAGGGATGGCGACCTGCTTTCTGCTTCTGAGTTCATCTTCCTCCGGCTCACAAAGGACACCCTTAGTAAAGCAGCTGCCCTGACTGCTTGCCTTCATGGAGTCTGATCCCAACTACAGGGAGGGTACATCTTGGAGTTGACCACAAAATATCACACCTTATTGCAGAAGCTTCTGGGTGTGGAGAGCTAAATCTGTCTAGCAGCAATGATCCAGACACAGCACTCACCCCTATCTCCTGCCTATCGGCCTCTTAAAAAGATATGCCATAACCATGAAGGATGGGCAGCAGCCTGGGTACTAAGAGATTAACTGTACCTAGCCAGATAGCAGTCAGCCAATAGAAATGCAGATAGGGATTTCAAACTGGGGGACAGGATTTTTTTATTTTTCCTTCCTTTGTCCCTGGCCAGTTGACTCTCCAGATACTGAGGGAGGCAGACAACATGTCCCTCTCCAGGAAAAGACTCTTCACTCTCTGTAAGTAGGGCAAAGTCTAGATAAATCTGTTAGGTTTTATTGTTTTATTGTTTGGGAATGGGAATCTGATGTCTGTGCATTTATAAATAGGGCTTCCTCTCTTTTGTAACTAAGTTTTGGGCCCATGGGAAAATTCCCCATGAGTTTATTAATTGGTGGCTCTTACCATCTAGCCAATCCAACTATGCTTGTAACAGGAGTATTGTTTTGATAATAAAAATTGTTTCTTTTTTATTAACCTGGTACTGGTTCAGTTCTGTATCCTGAAAAATCTGTCTGTGGATATCTGCATGCCTCTGACTAGGGGATAGCAGCCACAGACTGCAGTTCGTATTTTCTCTTTCTTTTTCAAGCTCTTTGGAGAAAAGAACTTGGGGTGCCCCTGGGATTGGTTTCAAGTGTCCACCCCTGTTTGGGGATTCAAAAGCACTTGATGGTGGCAGTGGATTTTTATCCCCAAAATCTAGGGTTTTTTAGGATTTTGGGGGGGACGTTTTATACCAAAGCCTGGAAAGATAAGGTTTTGGGGTACTTTTGCGGGCCCCCACTTCTGCATTCATCGTGCCAGAGTGGGGAATCAGCCTTGACAGAGGCTGATCTCAACAACAGGGAGGGAACATCTTGGAGTTGACCCCAAAATATCACACCCCATTGCAGAAGTTTCTGGGTGTGGAGAGCTAAAGCTGCCTAGCAGCAATGACCCAGACACAGCAATTACTCCTACCTCCCGCCTATGGGCCTCTTAAAAAGATAACTCCCCCTCAGGCACATGGGCCATGTTACTTGTGAGCAAGACACAAGAAGTAATTCTTTCGCTCTACTCTGTGCTGATTAGGCCTCAGTTGGAGTATTGTGTCCAGTTCTGGGCACCGCATTTCAAGGAAGATGTGGCGAAACTGGAGAGGGTTCAGAGAAGAGCAACAAGAATGATTAAAGGTCTAGAGAATGTGACCTATGAAAGAAGACCGAAAGAATTGGGTTTGTTTAGTTTGGAAAGGAGAAGACTGAGAGGGGACAAGATAGCGGTTTCAGGTATCCAAAAAGGTGTCACAAGGAGGAGGGAGAAAAATTGTTCTCCTTAGCCTCTGAGGATAGGACAAGAAGCAATGGGCTTAAACTAAAGCAAGGGAGGTTTAGATTGGACATTGCGAAAAACTTTCTAACTGTCAGGTTGGTGAAACACTGGAATAAGTTGCCTAGAGAGGTTGTGGAATCGCCATCTCTAGAGATATTTAAGAGCAGGTTAGATAGACATCTATCAGGGATGGTCTAGACAGTACTGGGGCCTGCCATGAGGGCAGGGGACTGGACTCAATGACCTCTCAAGGTCCCTTCCAGTTCCAGTGTTCTATGATTCTATGGGTTACTCTAATATTTGCAGGGTTATAAAAAGTGATAAATAAAGCTACAGTTTTGTCACAGAGGTTGCATAGTCACAGAATCCATGACTTCCAGCAACCTTTGTGACTTCAGCCTGTGGTGCTCTGGAGCTGCAGTGTCCACTGCCATCCGTGAAGGCCAGGAGCCGTGGAGTAAACCTGCCACCTCTCCGGGCCCCTGAAATCCCAGCTGTTGGGAGCAGCAAAAGAACCCCAGAGCTCCTGGCTGCTTTAGGCAGCAGAGGAAGCCCTGACCTCACAGTGCTATGTAGGCAACAGGGACCCCTTAGCTGCTGGCATGAGGGGCTCCAACAGCTCCCAGCCCCCAGAAGCAGCGAGGTCACTCCAGAGCTCCCTGACACCGTGGAAGGGGTGGGAACCTCCAAGCTTCTGGCTGCTGCTGGACTCCACAGCTGTGAGCAGTTGGGGGCACCCCACAGTTCCTGGCCCCTGAAGGCAGGTGAAGACCCCCAGCGCTGCAGGAGTATCCTACATTCCACCATCCCCCACTGCTGCAGGGGACCTTGGAGCGCCAACACGCAACCTGCGATGGGGGCTCCTGAAGCTGCAGGCATTGTGGGGACCTGCAGATCCTCATTTTGTTAAAGATATTTTTAGTAAAAGTCAGAAATGGGTCACAGTTTCTGTGGATTTTCTGTATTGTCTGTGACCTGCCTGTGACTTTTACTAAAAATATCCATTGCAAAATCTTAGCCTGAGTGATAAGAGCCAATATAATATTATTGCACTTCTCTAGTGCACTTCAAAGAAAGCTCTGTAACAAAGTATATAACCATTTTGTGTTCTAGCGATATATATAGCATTTCACCAGGTCCTAGGAGGTATGTCTTGCTACTTCAGATGGTTGAAAATTTGGGGTTTGCTTCATGAATCATTACTTATGGCATGCCTTGGGGCATGGTACTTGTGGGCTGAAGTGATAACTAAGTTACTGTGTACATACTGTCTAGCTACCTTTACTTACTTCAACATAAAATGGCACATTTACACATAAGACAAGTGCAAAATGGTCCATGTGGAACAAGTTGCACTTGAGGCAAAATCTCCTTGTAGTGGTCTGGAATGTGCAGTGAATTTTATTTAAAACTGTACAAAAAAGCAGAAAGTTGATCAGTATTCTCTTTCCCATATCAGGATAATGAAGGGGGGGCGTGGCCTTTATTTCTTTTAGGAGAGAAGTTTTTTATTCTTTTTTCATGTGACCACTTCCAAAGGGATATAAAGTAAAATAAAAATTATAGGAAAGAGAAAGGCATGCTAAGCCTCTTGAGGTTGACTTGGTCTGTGTGGAAAGTAAATTCATATTATTTAACATAACATGGAGGTTTCTGCTTGGCTGGGTACAAAGTGGAGGAACTGAGTTTATCTTACATGTGCTGAGGTGACAGAAGTACTGCAGAAAAATTGTAGTCTATTTTTGCTTTCACTGGGAACAATTCTGCAATGGCCAAGGGTCTGGTGACCTCGTAGACATATTCTGAGATGAATTCTCCATTGATTTACACCATGAGAATGCCTGTGGACACAAATGGAGGACATACTACATGCAAGTCAGCACAGAATTCACCTCTTCATCTTGGATTTTTAAACAGGCTTAGAATCCATTATGCAGACCTAAGAGTTTTGAGGAAAGTTGAGCAGCAACTATACTAAAAGTTGCTTTCTCCCAATCTTTGAAAGATGCTCAGCAATGTACAACTTGGTGAAAAGAGCAACTTGAATTACTCAGGCTCAGCCATTAAAATGCAAGTATCACCCGTGTGCAGTGGCTGATGAGACAAAGTTGTGAATCACAGACAACAACATTAAGTCCGAGACCAGAATCAACTCCTCTGAGCCTCAATCTGTTGTGGCTTATGCTGGTATAAATCAGGAGGAGCAACTTTTCTCAATTAGTTAGACCGCTTGTGAAAATAAGGAAGCTAAATTGAGTTCACAAGAACAAAAGGGGAAAAACAGAAATTGCTGGGAATATTTTTATCCTGTTTCTGAAAATAGTACAGTATATGGAACTGTTTCTGAAAACAAACATCTATCAGGGATGATCTAGACCAGGGCTACTCAACATGCTGCCCACGGGCCACATGTGTCCCGCCACTCCTTTGTTTGCAGCCTGCGGTGTGGTTTGGGTTTACGCAAGGCTTGACACGCGACCCGTGGGTGGGAGCCAAAACAAAAAAGTAGTTAATATAATGTTCTTCTGTTGATATTTGTTTTAGTAGTTAAATTCCTGGACTGTCATTGCTCATTAAAAGTGCTGCCATGTGGGTGGAAACTGGGTAAATATTGCATTTTATTAATACCAGCAGAACTGACTTAACTCAGGCCTGTGTGTTGTGTAGTCTTGCCTTAATCTTTATATCCATGCCCATCAGTGTGAAAGAAGCTATTTGCATATATATTTGCATGTATATGCAACCACACTTAAGTTGCAGCCCTCGTTGTGAGCTGTGAGAGTATCATTGTGGCCCCTGGGGCTTCCAAAATTGAGTAGCCCTGATCTAGATGGTGCTTGGTCCTGCTGTGAGGGCAGGGGACTGGACTTGATGACCTCTCAAGGTCCCTTCCAATCCTAGTATTCTATGATTCTATGAAAACAGGCCGGTATCTTTCATGAGGTAATGTTTGAATCTCACAGAGAGGTGAGGAGTACATAATCAGGGGACCTGCACAGCTTGCCTCTTTCTAAATAGATGGGGGTAATCAGAAAACTGGCCTCTCCAACAGGTACCTTGATATGAGTTAAGTCCCTATTTTAATTTACAGTCCATAGTATAGTTTCTTTGGCAGGGCTTCATAAATCTCCATTTCACCCATATGACTGCTGCATGATAATGGAGCTTTCTTTGGAGCTGCCTCTATCTGCACTAAGCCTGCCTCTCAGGACACGTAGGATTCAGCTGTAGGAATATCACCCGCTGCCAGTCTTTGCAGACATGTAGCATTATTGAAAATATGCTGGTGCCTCACATTGTTATGCGAGTCCATAGTCATTAAAATTTTATCATATAAACCCTGCCGTCTGCACTGAAGAGGAATTGAGAGCCTTGGCAGAGCATGATCATATATTTTATCAGAATCTTCTGAAAGGGAAAAATCAGCAGATTCAGAGAAGGAGGCAACAGTAAAACATTTCCTTTAATTTAAATATCATATAATGTCAAACCCCCTGAAATTGGCATTTATCTACTAGAGTTTACCTTTTTCCCCAGAGTTGGCTCAGTGTCCCATGGTTGCATGACAGTTCAAGCCAGCAGCACATGATCTCATTTTCATGTTTCTTTTGGAAAGCAAATATTAATCAAAGCATGCCAGTGAGAATTAAAGCCAAATAAAGCAATCTATTGATTATAATGTTGACTTAATCAGTGTTCAGACTGTCCGGTCAGTAGACTCAGAGGCTGTCTGTCTCTGCTTCGTATGTATACAGATTTGAAGGAATAGAGAAAAAACTATGTAGAATATTTTATAGTTGAAACAGTCAAGCAGAGAGGTTTAAATAACAAGAAACAAGCTAAAACTGCATATGGGGTAAATTCTTTTAAATTTTGCTCATTTGCCAACTAACCATCCTTCCATGTTGTCCGCAACAAATCAGATTCATTATGGGATTTTCTCTTGAGTCTGAGTAAAACAGAAATACTATAGCAAGCACATAATACAGACACTTAATTTTTTTTTTGTGAAGTATTTTCTATAGCTGAATTAATGCATAGGTATTTGGGGTTGGTAAGAAGTATTATCCACCTTTTACACATTTGGAAATTGAAGAAAATTAAAGGTAGATATTTTAAAAGGCATCTTAACCAAGGATAAAAATAAAGACACTCCAGATACTTTGAAAGTAGAGAAATCGCGTGGCTTACCACATGTTAGGCTGAACGGAATGAGTCAGTTTCACAAGCAGGAAGAGGCAAACCCCTAATTTCCTAATAGCAGAATGAGGTTGGCCTCTAGCTGTACATATTATGAAAGCTGAAACTTGGCTTTTTGCTGTAGAGCTCAGGAACAGTGCCAGAGTCTTCAAAGGTAATCAAAATAAATCAATGAGAAAAACTCATGGTTCTGTAATTAAGGAACCAATGTTCATATTTTCTTGTTCAGAAGTAAAGGTTTGCCCCTAGAACTAAGTCTTGCATATAGTTTTCTTTTAGATTTTTCTTGCCACATATTTTGATGCGGCAGATGCTGCGGATCTGGGGGCTAATTAGTAAATCCTTATGTCCGCAAGTGGGTATGGCCTCTCTGTAGTCTTATCCACTTACGACTTAGACATTTTCTTCAGCTGTTGCCTTTCCTTCCACCATACCAGGAGAATCGGCAGTGTTTTGCCCTATTGGAGTGATAGGACACCAACGCCAGTTTTAAATAGAACAACTTTTATAGCAGTTTGTCCCGTGCCCTATAATCACTTAAACAGCTATTGTAATCAGTTTAAGTAGTACATGATATCATGCTGAAGGAACCCTGGGGAATTATATAAGCAAAAAAATTCAGTGCTCAAAGATTCAACATTTTTAATGTGTTTCATATCTAATTCACGCCATCCCAAACATAGCAGAGGAATAAATGTGTATTGTAAATGCCTATGCGCACTCTGGCGGGGATTTAAAGGGCCAGGATTCTGGCCACGACCACTGCTGCAGGAGTGGCCCTGGGACAATTCTCCTTTTGTTTCCCCTGTTGGCAGACACTTTAAATCACCACTGGACCACCAGGAGGGACACTTCAGGAGGGAGTGAGGGCTACCTGGAGGTGGGGGCGGAATGTAGGGGGGGGGACGGGAGGGCG